TGAGCAAACCAGCCAGGGCAGAATCTCACACACATTTAGGATAACTTTAACATACCATCATTTTGGAATATTCTAAGAATCTTAGACTCAAACTTAAACTCGGGACAGGGACATTGTTATGCCATGGGGATTAGGATGATGTTATTGTTTTTCTTAACTCTTTCAAAATTTCCTTTAATTTTACTTTATCCCCTATCAATTAAAAAGAAAGGCTAAAAAATCCATATTTGGTCTATTTCAACAAGATCCATATTTATTAGTCTCAAAGGATACTCTTTGCCTCTTTACCAAGAAAAGCATTCAACAGTTTGGCCTTACTCAACAGTCTCGTTTGCTTGTGTTCACCATCATCAACATCAGCAGACAGGAGGCATTTCTGAGCACATCATGGGCACAGCAGAAGGCAGGGCAAAGGCAAGGCAGCTAGCTGCCTGCCAACCTGCCTGAGGTGAGATTTTTACCTACATGCATTCATGCATTCAAGTATTTTGCTGAAGAGCAATTCAGTGCACATATCAACTTTTTCAGGTTGTTCCCACGGTGGTGCCCTAAAGTGAGAACAAATCACTCCAACTCCAATTTTATTTCCTGAAGGTCTGAGTTTAACACAGACACAGCTGTTCACTTTTTTTTTTTTTTTTTAATCCTCACCCGAGGACATTTTTTCATTCAGACAGAGGAGGGAGAGAGAGGAAGAGAGAGAGAGAAACATAGACGTGAAAGGTACACATCGAGTGGCTGCCACCCACACGACCCAACCAGAGCCGGGGATAAACTGGAACCGAGTACATGCCCTTAGCAGGAACCGAATCCAGGTCTCTCTGGACCACAGGCCGACGCTCTAACTGCTGAGCCAAACCGGCCAGGGCACAGCTGGTCACTTTAAAGTCTGACTGTCAATGAAGGAGATTTTAAGAGAGAACAGGGAAAGCCCGCTTGGTAATGTTAGGTAGTTTCAACTGTCCCATCTCATGTCATGTGCTCCATGTTGATGCATTTCAAATAACTTTTAATAAAATCTAAATTATGTTAACCTAATCTTTTATTATGCAATCCCAACATTCCCCTACAATTTAGATCTTATTATTCAAAAGACCTGTTTCTCAAATCTGCTATTTAAAAAAAGTGTTCCCACCCTGGTATGACTCAGTTGGATGCAAAAGGTCTCGGGTTCAATCCTGGTCGGGGTGTGTATGAGAGGCAACCAACTGGTGTTTTTCTCTCTCTTCTCCTTCCTCTCTCTCTAAAATCAATAAAAAGTATATCCACAGGTGAGGATTAAAAAAAAGAGCCCTGGCCAGTTGGGCTCAGCAGGGACCAAAGGGTCTGGGTTCAATTCCCGGTCAAGGGCATGTATCTGGCTTGCAGGTTCGATCCCCAGCCCTGGTCAGGGTTGTTTGGGAGGCAACCAAACAATGTGTCTCTCTTACATCGATGTTTCTCTCTCTCTCTCTCTCTCTCCTTCCCTCCCTTCCACTCTATATTAAAAAAAAAAAAAATCAGTAGAAAAAATATCCTCGGGTGAGGATTAACAGCAACAACAAAAAGTTGTAAAAAAAAAAAAAAAATTGTTCCCATGTTATACAAACATCCCAGCTGGAGAAACCACTAAGATTAAATTGTATCTTGAGACGCTTGGCACCAGTGTGAAGCCTGAACTTACTAATTTGGCAGTGTCATCCCACTCACACCTAGTACTGAGTATCCCCACCCTGACGGACGGGAATTCACAGAAAAGAACTCGGAGAAGGCACTGCTGCAATCACAATAGGAAAAATCACACAGGAGAAAATTAAAAACTGACAGAGGGAGTGTGTCAGAGTGAGAGAAGATGCCCTGGACTGGGAATGGGGGGGGGGGGGGGGGGGCAAGCCCAGGCGGCCTCCAGGAGGTGTGCCTACACCAGCAGTGAGCCCTAGACCTCCCACCCTGTCTGCAGGCCAGGTGGGAACCAATGCAGAGGGCCACTGTGGTCCATCCAATGCCAAGCAGCAGCTCCATCCGAATGAAACACTAGCCATAATACTTAAGTGGTATTACATATTTAACACATGTAAAAGTATTTTTATATAACAACCTCATTTTAGTTGTCCATATTTGTTGCTGTTTACTGGTTGAAATTTCAGTGTTTCATGTGCTCTGCTTAAAATAGCATCAAATCTGCATTAAAAAAAACAGCTTAAAGAAATACATATGCAAAGCAGAGTATTTCCAAGTTTTAATGAAGGCCCAGAATTTAACAGAAAACTAATCAAACTATAAACACAATGAAGGGAAAATTAAAAACAAAAACCTACAATGAAGAATGACTCTTGTCCCATGCAACCACTGTGGAAATAAGAAAACAAGGGCCGGAAACAATCTTTTTCTTCTTCTTTTTTGTTAATCCCCACCTGAGGATATTTTTTCCATTGATTTTTAAATAGAGTGGAAGGGGAGGGGAGAGGGGAAGGGAGAGAAAGAGGGACAGGGAGAGAGAGGGAGAGACACATTGATTGGTTGCCTCCCTAACACCCCCACCCAGGGCCAGGGATCAAATCCGAAACCCAGGAATCGAACCTAAGACCCTCCGGTATACAGGCCGACACTCTAACAGCTGAGCCAAATTGGCAAGGGCCAGAAACAGTCTTCTTTTAAAACGTAAAAGCTTTATTACCTATACTTTCCAGATTTCCCCAAAGATTTCCCAGTAAGTCTCAAAATCTGAGCTGAATCAGTTATTTTAAGTTTCAAGAATTCCACATACATTCACTAGACATAATTGTCATTAGACAATTTGGAAGGTGGGGAGGGATTAGCCCTCTGCATGACAGGACTCAACACAGCAAAGGTTTCGGACACTATAACAGTGTGACTCCAAAAAGTCAACAATCCACAGACGGATAGCGTATATACATGTTTCCTGAGCAGAAGTAATTAGGGTACCTAATAATGCTCAACAAACAATCCTGTTTGAAAAGACCATTCTTTGCCTTCCAATCTCAATCACCAGGCATTCCAAGTAATAACAAATACAACCGCACACATATGGCAACTACTAACACACCACTGCAGTTACAATGGCACATATGTTAACATACAGGAGGTTAAACACTGTTTCTCAAATATATTTCATTAAAATGCCACCCCAAATTTAAGTCCATTCTTTGTCTCTGTAACTTAAAGATTACACTTCTGTGCAAATTAAGTTTTTAGGATAATGTAACTGATTTATAATTTCCAAAGAGCCAGAATACAATTTTGAAAATATTTTTATCTGAATAGCCCACAGCTCCTGTTTAGATTTGGAAAGGTCAAATCCAATAAGATACTTCCACACATGCTGGAAGAGCCTCCTCCAGTGAAACCCACCAGTTCACAGACTGGCTGACCTGTCTGGTGGTAAGGGGGCTGCACCGGGACCACTGGTCCTCAGGGCGCCCAGCCCTCAGACTAACCTCCATCCAGGCATGGCTTGGTTCCCAGGCCAGAGCACCTGGTCCACACCTTACCAACTAAAACCTGCCCTCTGCTTCCTCCTTTCAATCACACTTTTACTCATAGACTGTGCCCAAGGTGAACCTGGACTTCAAGATCAAAAGCTCAGAGAGGAATGGCAAACACGATATTCAGAAGGCTCAGATGTAACAGGCACCAAAGACCTCACTTTCAAATCAACTGTGAAGTCAGTAAATTATTCAGCTGGAAATCAGGTCACTGATAAAGGACCCCAGGAAAGCGAATACTCTCTTTTACTTACATTTAGTATAACCAAGAATAGTGGTACCCATAGAAATAATAACCGGCTGTCTAAGGTTCTGGGCCTCCCTCTACTGCTGCTCTCACAAGACCTCATGTCAACATTTCACTTACAAGCAAAAAACAGAAGCCCTCTAATGACTATGGCAACTTAAGTTTTGACTTGTAAACAAAATTCCAATTCCAGTTACCATCTTGGCAGAGCAGGAGGCCTTACTACAGAACACATTTGTTTATTTCCTCAGGTATACAGCAGCTTGATCAGCCCGAGAGATTAGAAATGACTGGTTCAATCTGCAGTCCTAGCCCAGTGACACAAATGACGCAACTATAGGATTTTCATAGGTGTGGCCTGAACATAAGCACGTCTTCCCACTAAGTCATTTTAGGTGAATCTGAGGGTCATGACAGAATGCCCATGTTAGGAGAAGGTGAAGCCAAAGGGTTTCACTTTACACTGTCTTCTGGATTCTAATGATCATTAAATGGATTAATCGATTTATACCCTAACAAAGCATAACAGGTTGACCAACGATTACAATATAGATCCTTGAATAAAGAAAAGGCGGCATGCAAAGATCAGGTGAAGAAAGTTTTTAAATGACTTCCACATACTGACACTTCAAACTACCCCAAAATATATCAAGGATCTGGCGCAATCACAAATAGAAAATCAAGTTGCTCTTGCATGGTGTATTCAAAACAAGGCGTTTAACCTTAAAACTCCCTTGGAGGTGCTCCAGTGAAGGGGATGTAGACCGGCTGTCACCTAGGAGACGCACACGGGGTGGGGGACCCACGGGGCGGTGTGGAAGCAGATGTAAAAAGCACACTTTGCTGCCCCCACAAATCAGCAGAGCGTGGCGGGGGAGGGGGGACGCTGGACGCTGATCCTGGACCCCAAAGCGGGGGGCGGGGGCGGATATCCCAGGCAGAACTGCAGGAAATGATATCCAGACTCGAAGGGTGGATCTAGGAAGCGGCAGGGACGATGGTCCGGAGGGGGGATGGGGGAGGGACGAAGATGTGGCTCCTAAGGGCAGGATGAGGAGGCGGGACGGCCGAGCGCGGACGTGCAAAGGCCCAAGAGCGCAGGGAGGGATCAAGAGCCGCAGAAAGACCGGAGCGCCAGGAGCGGCCGGAGGAACGGGACGGCGGGTGGGACGGAAGCGCGAGGGCAGTGCGGAGCAGGCGGCAGGGTGGGGAGGAGGGTGAGCCGGTCCGGGGACTGGGGGGCTGAGGTCAGGGCCGCGCGCACTTACCCCACTCGAGGAACTCGGCCACATACTTGTCGCGGCGCAGGGCCGAGTGGCTGCACTCGGTGTACAGGCAGATGAGCACGTCGAGCAGCGTCTCCACGCTCAGGGCGCTCTCGTTGCGCCAGGGCCCGTCCAGGAGCAGCTGCTCCAGCTTCTTGAGCCGCACCTTGGCCGACATGGTGCCGCGCGGCCCGCTCCCCACGCGCCGGCCTCTCGCCGTCCGCTCCTCTCGGCCAGTCCGTCAGGGCGAGCCCTCGGGGACCCGGCGGCCGTGAGCCCTGGCAGCACCTCGTCGCCGCCCCGTCCGCGTCGTTGTGCCCCGGCCTAGGCCGACATCTTGGGCTCGGTCCCGGCGGCGAAGCGTCTGGGGCGCCGGGCCCCGCGGGTCCATGGACCGGTCTCCTCCCCTCGGCGCCGCCGCCCTCTCCGCCCGGCGCGTCCCGCCCCGCCTGCGCCCCTGAGCCCCGCCCGCAGCCGCGCCCTCCCCGCTGCCCGCCGCCCTGGAGCGACGCTGACCGGAGCGCTGCGCAAGCCCGGCCGGCGCCCCAGACCCGACCCCGGACCCGACCCGGCGGCCCAGCCCCGCGGCCCGCAGCCAACCAGGGCGCGGCCAGCGCGGGCGCAGCCAACCACGGCGGGACCGGCCGTCGCCGCGCTGACCTCAGCGCGCCGCCCCGCCCCTGCGTCCCGGCTCCTGGTTCCCGGCGGGATCGAGCCTCGCCGCTCGCCGTAGGGAGGCCGGGATGCTGGGAAGGCGGGGGCGGGGTCGCGAGGGGGCGGGGCAAGCGAGGAGCCGGTGCGCTGCCGAGATTGCGGCATCGGCGCGTGCGCGAGCGCTCCGCATACCCACCTTCGGCGTCCCGGAGGGATCCCGAGGCTCGGAGCGGACCCGGCCGGCCTGGGGCTTCGGGACCGCCCCGCAGCCGCAGCCCTGGTGTCCTCGGCGGCGGGACTTAGAAGCAGGACTCTTCTGAGCTCGGAGCGGCTGGTGGAAACGCGGGCCCACCTCTGACTGAGGTCGGGACAGGGCGGGCCTGCGGAGAGGCGGCGGCCCAGCGCCCGGTGAATTCGCGATGCCCACGCAGTGGCCACTTCCAGTTCCACCGTGCAGCCTACCCCTCCCCGCAAACAAATGTCTGGGGGTGGCAGTTTGGTAGGAAGCGGCGGGTTGATGGTCTCCAGCTTGGGTTTGCCCAGCGAGTCGCTGCCCGTGTCCTCAGGCACCCATGGGGTTCCGCCCTCTGTCTTGGCCATCTGCAGCTACTGTTTACAAAGAGCCAGAGACTGAGTGGCTTATAAACAATAGACATTTATTTCTTACAGTTTTGGAGGTTAGACTTCTGAGATGGGGGTGTCAGCGTGGTCAGGGTCAGGGTCAGTGCCCTCTTCCCCTTTATAGAGGGCTGTCTTGCTGTGTCCTCTTTGGTCACTAATCCCATTCACGAGGGCTCCACCCCCATGACCTAATCACCTCCCCAAGGCCCCACCTCCTAATCACATCAGGAGTTAGGATTTCAGCACTTGGAGTTTAGGGGGACAGAAATACTCAGTCCCTAACAACATCCTTACAGTAAACTCCTACTTGGGCTGGCTCCAGTGGGTTTCTCGTCTTTGCAACAAGTAAGTGGCACCAAGCCTAACCTCATCCCCAGCACACAGAAATGTGCACATGGAACTTCAAGCTGCAAATAATGTCTCAGTTCAAAAGTTAAAGCGTCCGGGTCTACAGAGGTAAACCTCTGAACTTGATTTAACCTTTGCTCTTCCCCTGGTGCCCACTTGGGCCCTTTAGGGCTGAGGTGAGGTGGGAAAGGGGCTGTGCTTGGCTTCTGCCATGTTCCTTCCTCAAGCCTCTCAGCCAGCTTGGCCCTCCTTCCACCCACCTGGGGCTGTTGCCAGCTGCCAGAGTGGAAGAAGGTGTTCGGGAGAGCTGTGGTCTCACCTCCAGCCCTCTCCTGGGGATATTCATGGGCTCCTGGGCAGTTCCTTGCTGCTCCCTCTCTTGAGCACATGTTGCCTTTCTAAGTGGGTATTTACCTGTGGGCTTCGGGGGACCCTCTGCCCTTCTATGGGGACTATTGGACAGGACCTATGATGACCTGTCCATGTGGCTTATGTCTGTCTACACAGCTCACATGCATCCACCGGAAACACTCTCGTACCCCCTAACAAATGTTTGGGAGCTGTCAGGTCCCAACTGGGCAGCACACTCCTGGCTCTGCCTCATGGCAGCTCGTGGGCCCTTCTTTCCCTGCTGGGGTCCATCCGTAGTCCACTGTACCTCCAAATAGGGCCATGTCTTAAGCTCTCTGAGGAATCCCTTAAAAGCCACCATCACTAGGCTTCAGGTAAAGAAAGGCGTCCTCCCATGCTCCATGCCCGGCAGGACCGTATCACTGGATCTCCTCTCTTCCTCCATCTCTTTTTTTTTTTTTTGCATTTATCTTCAGATAGAGTGGGAGGGAGAGAGGGAGGAAGAGAGAGAGAGAGAGATCAATGAGAGAAAGACACATCGACTGGCTGCCATCCACACAACCCCAACCGGGGCCAGGGACAAACTGCAACCGATGTACGTGCCCTTAGCGGGAACCGAACCCGGGGCTCTCTGGACTGTGGGCCGATGCTCTAACCGCTGAGCCAAACCGACCAGGGCCCTCCATCTCTTAATCTGGGTCTGGGACAGGTTTTCAAGTATTACCCTTGACAGTCTACATATGGTGACCTGAAACCTCATTTGAGATCCACATCTGTTGTCTCTTGAAATTTCAATACATTTTACAACATGCACACTGGACAAAGGTCATTGTCCCTTTGCCGGGCAGTCCTTGTGTTTGTCTGCCTGGCACCCCACCACCACCCCCTCTCCCCGCACCCTGTGAGTCTTCACTCCAGCTCCACTTTGATCATGGGATCCTAGAGGGGCTGCCATGGGGGGGTGGACATGTCCCCCAGGGCCAGATGGTCAGCTCTCCATCCCCTTGATCAGGGGTCATCATGTGACTCAAGCCAGACCAATCAGAGAACTTCTTTAGGATGTTTTATACTAAAACTAGGAGAGAGAAATTCTTGTCTTTTCCTTTAGACCAGAGGCAAGTCAACTTTTTCTGCAAAGGGTTAGATTGCAAGAAAGGAGTGCTTCCATCAGGAAACAAACTTGCTTCTGGTGAATTAGAGCTGAGGCGGCCCCTCCCCACAGGCTAGTTCTCCTTCCTCCTGCCACTAAGCCAGCAGGCAGAGAAGGGGTCCCTGTGCTGCCTGGGACACTGATCCCAGGCATCAGAGGGAACGTAAACTTATTTTACACATGGGGCCAGGTGGACTGTGTGAGGAGCCCCGGGACTTCCCTGTGGTGCTTAGTGGTTCTAACTATTGGAAAAAGAGAAGCTCATTAATGACAGGCCCATAAAGGACCCCTGTCCTGAAGGAACAAAAGTTTGGGTCCTCCCACCAAGGCAAGAAAAGTGCTGCTGAGGAGCCAGCGGAGGAGGAGGGATATGGAGTGAAGACCACGTGGGGAAGTGGGCGCTGTCATGGGACTTTCCTTCTTGTGGGTCTCCACCCCCAAACTAATATGAAGAGCATTTCTTTTGTTGTTGTCGTTAATCCTTATCTGAGGATATTTTCCCATTGGTTTTCAGAGAGTAGAAGGGAAGGAGGGAAAAACATCTTTGTGAGATACATGGATTGGTTGCCTCCCGCATGTCCAATCAGGGATCGAACGTACAACCCAAGTACATGCCCCTGACTGGGAGTTGAACCCAAAACTCTTCAGCCCTTGGGTCAACGCTCTAGGCACTGAGCCAAACCAGTCAGAGTTGAAGAGCACTTCTTACTTTTTTAAAATAATTTTTAATTGATTTTTTTAGAAAGAGAGAGAGAAAAAAACATTGATGAGAGAGAAACATTGATTGGCTGCCTCCTGCACCCACTAATGGGGATCGAGCCCATAACCTGGGCATGTGCCCTGACCAGGAATCAAACCTGGACCTCAGTCCACGGGATGATGCTCAATCCACTGAGCCACACTGGCCAGCTGGGCTGAAGAGCACTTCTGATGTCCAAGGTCTTAGGTTTCAGGTTGGCTCACTCTGTGGTTGGCATCACCCACGAACATCAGAGGCTGGTGGGATATCATGTGCCCTGGGTGTTGACACATTTCCCCTACAGGACAAGGATGAGGTGAAAGGCTATGATGGTGGAGAGTGTGCCTCTACCCCTCCAGGTCCACTCCCCACCCTGCTCCACCTGTTTTGTGCCCCAAATGGGCTGTACCTGTGGGTAGGGGTCTGGGAAGAGTGAGTCACTATCTATTCCTCATCACTCAGCCACAGCCTGTCTGGGACCCCTCTTCATGAAGCAGCTGTCCCCAGGTTCTGGCCACCCTGCCCTTCCGCTGCTCCCAGGGGACCCAGAGGTGGCCACAGCTCCTTGGCCCTGCCAGCCTTGGGAGCACCCCCATTTCTCCCCTAATCCAGCTCCTGCCCTTGCCTTGGTAAATAGGCCACTTTTTATGCTCTCAGTTGCCCTACCTCCGTGTGTCCCCACTGGGACTCATGCACACAGTCGTATGTGCAATAATAGTCATTACTGGATTACTTGCAATTAAAATAATGAAAACCTAAATGTCCATCAGGATACAAATAAATAACTGTACATACATAATATGGCACTTTGTGTAGTCTTTGAGAAATGATGTAGAACCCTGGCTGGTTTGGCTCAGCGGTTGGAGCGTCGGCCTGCAGACCAGAGAGTCCCAGGTTCGGTTCCCACTAAGGGCGCGTACCTCGGTTGCAGTTTGTCCCCAGCCCTGGTTGGGGACGTGTGCGTGGCAACCACTCCATGTGTCTCTCTCACATCGATGTTTCTCTCCCTTCCTCTCTCCCTCCCACTCTATCTGTAGAAAGATGCAAAAATGTCCTCGGGTGAGGATAAAAAACAAAAAAAAAGAAATGATGTAGATGAATTCATTCAACCAGCCCAAAGCCGCTGGGCGCCTGCTACGTGTCAGCACTGCTCTAGGTGCCAAGGCTACAGTGGCGGCCCAGACAGACACCGGCGTGTCTACTCTAGTCCGGGGACAGACCACAGGACAGTGCACCGGAGGATAAAGAGAACTTCGGAGAAAAGCGAGGGCTGCGAGGAAAGCGGACACGTGACGTGGTGTCGACGGAGGGGTGCGTGCCTCCTCGATGGAGAACGCAGGGTGGCCCCTTGAAGCGGTGACACTGTAGCGGAGAAGTGGACGAGAAGGTGGGAAACTCTCAGGCACAGACAGGGAACAGAAGGACCAGTGCAGAAGGCAGAGGGTTGCGGGCGCCTTGGTCAGTGCGAGTTCATGCAGAGGCTCAGCCTTGCCTGTCAGTCACCGCCACCCGGGCCTGTGGCTGCTGTGACCCTGGCCGTGGTTCCTGAGGTTTCCTGCCTCCTGACTCTCTGGGCCACAGCTCTTCCTGAGGGTGTTTCTCTTCCTCCTCAACCTCCAAGCTGATAATGCGGAGGACTGAAGGTCAGCAGCAGGAGCCAGTACCCCACCAGGATCAGACACAAAAGGC